TAAAAAAGGAGTGTAAGTGGATAAAATAGGAGAAAAAGGAGTGGGGAAATCACCACTCTTTATTATACCTCTTCTTTCATTTCACTGGCCTCCAGTAAAAGTTGGTTAACATTCTTTGTTCCTTCTTGAAGTCTTCCTTGGAAACTTTTGTAATGACATGATTGTGATCTTGTCAAAGCAGAATGTATCAAATAAGTTTGCATGACTATCTAGTTAGGTTTAAAATGGCATGAACAAAAAGAGGAAAAAAAAAAAAAAAACAGAAGTGTTTCAAATAGTTATGAGATAAGTGCATCATGGAAAAAAAAAAAAAAAAATCTAGGGATCATCTTCAGGGTTCATGTATGGGGTTACATTGAACTGACTTCTATTTTTTGTTTTGTTTTTGTTAGACGTTGAACTGAAAATTTAGTTTTTGGACAATTCAACATTTTCTTGACCAGTGAAAGTGTTTCTTTGAAGGAAATTGGCATATTATTTAGCAAGTGAGAAAATAATCCAAAGAACTTTAACAAACACTTCAGTCTAAACAAGGGAAATGATCAGGCATGTTTGGCATGTCATAGTTCTTTTATCTATATTACATGAGTAGGTGAAGCTGAGTCTTTCTCATGAAAGATATCTTCAGCTAAAGTAATCAATACGGGACAGGCTGGTACTCTTCCTGATTTCTGATGAGAGTATCCATTTGTGTGTGTGTGTGTGTGTATATTGGACCAAAAATAAATCATCTGCAAAAAAAAAAATAATAATAAATAAAAACACTTAACACCATTTTAGGTTTCAATTCAAACTATTGTGTGGTTGTTTCGTGTGTGCATGTGTGAGGGATTATCTAATGAACCCTTTAATTCTTCAGGAAACCACATCGGCAATGAGAAAAGAAATTCAGGATCTTAGGACAAATGCTAGAATTTTTCAGCTCAGCAAGTGCACTGCATGTACTTTCACTCTTGATCTCCCAGCTGTGCATTTTATGTGCATCCACTCATTCCATCAGCGATGCCTCGGCGATAATGAGAAAGAATGTCCTGTATGTGCTCCGGAATACAAGTCTGTGCTAGAAACGAAAAGAAGTTTAGAGCAGAACTCCAAAGATCAGGATCGATTCTTCCAGCAAGTTAAAAGTTCGAAGGATGGTTTTTCTGTGATCGCTGAGTATTTTGGGAAGGGGGTCATTAGCAAAACCAGTAGTGGACCCACAGGTGGTTCTTGATCAGCAGCAGTTCTTTCAAAGTTTGGAGGCATTGGATGACTGTGCTTCTTCTTGTTTTGTTTCCCAAAGTTTGGAGGAGTGAAATCTTGTGTTTTCTTTTTGGCAGATCAAAATGGCATATCCTGAAACAATTTTGCGGATCTGCATTAATTCGAAAAATAAACTGAAATTTGTGAGTAAAGGGCATTGTTATATAACTTAATGTTCCCATTTCTCACTTTCTAGCAGCTTTGGAAAACACCCTTATCATATATCAGCTGGCCACATCACATGCTACTGAGTTGTTTAGATTTTACTTAACTCGGTTTTTTAACTAGTTACTCGTCCTTCTTCAATAAAAATTCTATCGCCCTCCTCTCCCAAAAAAAAAAATAAAAAATTCAATTTTTCTACCTCACTAATCAAAATTAGCATCGGGGAAAAAATTACCGAATTATCAGCCTCTAATTTCAACTCGAATTAAATTTTAGTTATTATTTTAATTTGCCAAACTGTAAAGCTAACTAGTTGATGGAACTGTGGAATGTGCTGTATACTATTCAGGTGACCTAGGATGGTATAGCTGTTGACAACTCTAATCATTATATATCCGTAGCGTACGCATCCATTCTATCCATTTGTTTGACTGGCCCAGATTGGAAGGTACACGGTAGCTTTTATGGAATCAGTTAGTGGTTAAATTCTTCCAAAGGGGAGAATCCTAGGCCCCTAACAATAATTTTCAAGCTTAACCTACTCTTTTGAATGTGGCCGTTGTCTATATATTATCTGAGAATCTAAAGCTGTAAATATTTTGGTAGCCTCAATCGGTAATAAGTTAAATCTGAATGTTCATGTATTATGAGCTTCACATGCATCAAATAAGAGTTAATCTGATCGTTCATGCATACGTTATAAACTTCATATGCATCAATAATTAAAAAGTTCTCACGTCGACAACTCATAATAAAGTACTCTTTGCTACTTGAACAAATAATGATTCTAGTGTAAATAATTAGTGAGAAGTGCTTTTTGATTGATGATATGCATGAAAATATATCACATTGGTACTTTTCATTGTTTGAGAAGTCACTACGATAAGTCCCATCTGTATAATCTGTTTAAAAGGTCATATTTTTTATCATGTTCGATGATGGCTCATGTTTTGCAGTTGTCCTATCAATAGTACTCTGTGGTAGACCATTGCTGTCGGCGCGTACCCAACCTACCATGTTGGTTCACGCAAGGTTTGTGCAATTTATTAGCAATTCCCCAACTCATAGTGCTTGGGACAATCGCCCCGGGATCATGCGAGCCTCTCAACCGTTAATGCATTGGAATGTAAGTCATTCATCTACGTGTTAGCAATGATTTCTAAATCAATTTTTTTGAATTGGAGATGATAAAATAAATATCTAACTTGGACGTAAACAAGCACAAGTGAACCCTTTTCGACCGAACCCTAGACATCTCAGCCTTTTCAGCTTGATGATAAACACCACCCAAAAAGGCCATGTCCGGATTCAGGTCCTCGCCTCAGCAAATATTAAACAATGGTTTTATAATGTTTGTCCACATCCAACCGAGCACGACACCAAATCTCTCGACATCCCCTTTTTGGTTATGTAGAGACAGCCGAATCAAACCATGTTGTCTTCGTATTCCATGTCTCTCATCTAACCCTACTTTTATTAATGGCAACTTATAATGGGGGGTTCCAACAACTGCTTAAACAATTATAAGCAGCTTCCCCGACACCTCCGAAACTTCAGTTTCTGGGTAAATGCAGAGGCCTGTGACAAAATCAACTTAAGGATGCTCCTTTAGTTACATTCCGTGAACCTTGATCACCACCAACTTCCAAGATCTAAGAAGAGGTAATTTGACTACTTGAGTTTGAATATAAATTGACTTTATCTATAAACTTCCAATCGAATACAGACATTATACAAATAATGTGTTCATTATAAACACTCAGAGAAGTAGAAGCCAAATTGTCAATTTCTACATTTCCAGAATTTTGTGATCATCAGACCAGTGAAACTGACCCAAACACTAACAATCGAACTCAAGTATCAAAATCATTACTGAAAATCACTACTTTTAAGGGGAAACTGTAACTTTATAAACATGGGCTGGATGATCTGCAACAAGAACTTGATTGCCTCATCATGGTTCTCAAAGTAAACAAACATATCAAGATCAAAAGACCAGCGATAGATACATTAAAGGCTATATAAAAACAGAGTTCTCCAAAGAAGAACAAACATGTAACTTGACAGACTCGAGAGAAAAAAAAAACGAAAAAAAGCACTTTCCTACTCTGTTCTCTAGGCAAAAAAAAGAAAAAGAAACAAAGAAAATATACGTAGGTACATATAAGATCATCCTTTATGGTTCCAGCTTCAAGGAAACAACCCGTGATTGTCTGTTACGCTTTGCCACCTTGACAAATACTACTGAGAGGCAAGATGGAGCCCACCATGGCCTGCGGACCTTTTGCTCCCCTTTCAGGCAAGCCACTGGACATAAACTTGGTTTAGCACACACACAGATGGTATCTAAATGCAATTCAAATTTCAGAGGAAAAAGGCATATATATGTAACTCAAGGGAAATATGATTCCAGAAAGGTTTAAATTCTCAACTTGCTAGGATAGATGAGAGTTTCACAATGCTATTGAATGAGGCATAAGAATGGTTTCTTAGTGTCAGCGTGCTATGCTATCAGTAGACATTTGAGTGCATGAAATGAATGGATCATGCATGGCCAGTCTGTCTCACCAATCCATATACTCTACAAATACTCTCTTTTCTGTTTTACTTTTGGAATAATTATATTTTCCATTAATCAAATGTCATATGTACTTGTGCATAGAAAATGCAACAGAGAGATAATCATAACCCTTATTCAAATCTATTTATCCAATAACTCTAGAGACTAAATGAACTTTTTGATATAAGAATGAACACAAAGACTTTCACACTTTTTTCACAGCATGATAAAGACCGCTAGGAAAATTTATAGGCCACAGACCTTTAATTCGCCTTAGTTCCTTACACAGCGTGATAAAGTCTCCCCATTTCATGTGGCACCGTCTTATAAACCGAAGAATCTGCTCAGTAGTAAACATTGACATGCCTTCCAGGTATTCTCCATTGACACCATTTTCCTTAAAAGTTTGCCGGTAACTGCCGAGGTTTATCTCTTCCAACCACAAACCGACATCCTGTACGAAAGGGGAAAATAAACATGAGAATACATGTGGGTGAGCCATATATCTTTATATTCGTTTTATTATATATGGCCAAAAAATATGTACATGAGGCCTTCATCTGGGCACATGATAAACTCAGCCTATTAAGTCACTGTTGTTATAATATAACAGTCCCTCCAACCCAAAAAAAATTAAAAAACCAATATCTACCCAAATTTTTGATCAGGACAACCTTAAACTTAGGGCAATTTAAACTTTTTCTTTTGAGATTATCCGACTAGAGTTCATCCATATCAACCAGCATCACTTCACATGGCAAGGTAATGTTTTTGTCTGTAACTTGGCTGTGTTTAATTTTAATATCAATAATCCCCTTTAGTCACAAAATATCTGTCCCCAGAGGTAATCCTAAGATTCCTAAGACCAATAGTAATGTGTTTGTCTCATTATTTTCACTGTAATGTATTTACTCATAGCTAAAAATAGTTAGGTAGAGGCATCTTTAGCACAACTTCAGAGTCAAAGACCACATTCAAGCTTTAGCTCATAGTTTTGTTCAATTGTGAAGTTGTTAAAAAAAAAAGTAATCCATTCATCATTCTATGGACAGGGAAACAATTTCCACACCCCAAGATGAGGAGGGTCCTGACCAAGTGAATAGCAACAGATAATACAGATTGCACTAACAACAAACTTTTGTTCTGTAGCATTTTAGAATCGTTTTATAACGTGACAGAGTCAAACGCCTGACACCTCAAGAACCATAAATCAAAGAAAGAAGATTGTGTCAAATAATAGCAGGAGGAGGATGAACTGATTGTGTCAAATAATAGCTGGAGGAGGATGAATTGATGAGTGAAGGAAGGCAATTATTTTCTGTAATAACAACATGAGATGGATTCATATGAAACTGATGAATTTCCCAGCTTGCCAAGTATGAAGGATAATTAGCAGATTACATGAAAGTCTCCTCTATTTCGATTCATTAAGTTGGTCTATTTCACAATAATCAAAACTAAAACCTACCACTTGATAACCGTTCCCCCAGTAACAACCCCATAAAAAAGAAAATACATCACAGGATGTTAAAAAAACCCCCAAAATTTGAAAAAGTTAATACATACAAACACACATATATACAAAGCCTAACTCGAAGAGAAACAGATGCATGAGCTAGTAATAAATTAACAAAAAAAATGAAGAGTCAAAATCAGATGTCCCAAACAACAATTCTCCAATACCAACACACAAGATCTACTTGATTGAATGAGAAATATCCAAAAACAAGGACAGAAAAAGAGAAAAAGAGACTGAAAATTGGTTACCTCAACAGTCCAAATGAAGAAATCAAGAGGCTCTGGTGGGTGTTCTTTGCTCATCTCCCTAATCATAACGCCTTTTCAAGACCTTCAAATCATTCACAACCCAAACACACTCTCAGTCACAGAGACGACACAGAGTAAAGAGCTTAAAAAATAAAATTTCACAAAAAAAAATTAAATAAACAAATAACAGCTTGGTCTAAGACTAGTGGCAGTTACTGCGATCCGAATTTTCTTCGTTTTTTTTTCTTTTTCTTTTGTTCGTTGTATTTTCTGGGAGACCAAACAGAAAGTTAGAGAAAGCTGGATTGGGACTTACCGTGCGGAAGGTGAGTGAGAATTTTGAGGGTATAAATTCTCTACATTTGTTTCAGAGCTTAAAGAGAGAGAAAGTAAGAAGAAGTCTGAAACTGATGACTCATTTGCTTTCTTGCCCACTCTTTTTTTCTGTCTCTTAATGGAGTTGATGGGCCTCCATTTTTCTCCTTTATTTTCCCTTTTAATTTCTCTTAATTATCATTGCTAAATTTCAGATAATAACACTAAATTACATTTTTATCCATATAAAAATTGTATCGGATTGCAAAGCGATATTGGGTAGAAGGAATCCAACACACACCTCATGTACAAAGATTAATGTTATTAATCGCTTGAGCTACGTGTCCTTCACAATCCATTTAAATTTTTACTAGTATCTCGATTGTGAAAGACATATATTCATGATTGTAAATCGAGATACTAGTAAGACTAAATTCACTTGAATTCTAAAACCATAAAAGGTTGTAATTGTAAACGTCGAAATGAAATGAGATACCCTAATTTAGCAAAGGAGAAATTCTCATTAGTACCCCTTAAGGTAATTTATAAATTTTGTTGGTAAATAATTTATTATTTTATTTTGGTTCGATGCATGTCAAATCATAGAGTAATTGGTTATTAATAATACACTTTATGACGTTTACTATAATAACTTTGTCTTAATTATTTTGGGACCATTATGAAATTATTACTAAACCAGCTTCAATTAAGGTGCATGTTTGGGCCCACGTGGGCCGGCCTGAGTTTGATTGAACTGGAAGACTACGAAGGCGACAAGTTGGACCGACCAAATCGAAACCATGCAGACGGTCAATGAATCTTATGGTCATCAGATCGGACGGTCATGATGGGAGTTTCTCTGAAGCCACAGTGAACAGTTACATGTGCAACACGTGTCCATACCGTCGCTTACGTTGCGCTATCATTGTCCCTGGACCACATACCAAATAATAACCCTAAATCAGTAATTAGAATTACATCACTTCCTTCTTTTAGGTGTTTATTATATTGTCACTTCTTGTCTCTCCTTTTGATCTTGCACCCACTTTTAACTGACTTTCTATTGCTAGTGTATGTATGCACCCCCAAAGATTACAAAAATAACTTTTCTTACCTCTTCTGTATTTTTTTGATGTAAATTACTGTAATATAAAGGAAAATTAGAATTCAGGTATAACGAGACGGGCGCTCTCCTGACAAACTAGTTTAACCCATATATACTTTATCCAAAAAAAAGTCAACGTGTGAAAATAAAAGTAAACTGTGAGTAGTCAATGTTGTACGAACAAATGTTGTTTTACTCATAACTCATTATTTCTATAGTTAGTTAAGATTTCGTATTAATATAAACCTTAGTGTTATTATAAGATATAGTTATCAATATGGATTGGGTATTTGTATCAATGTGGACCTACAATGGGGCCAATTCAAGAGGCCGGTTAAACAAGAGCTTCTTAATATGCTCCTATGGACCTAATCCGTACATATATAGCAAGGTCATGACTCATGAGAGAAGACAAAAAGGACCCAACTTAAAAAGAGCCCAATTTTATAGTGACATAACATATATGGAAATGTATGAATGATTTTTTTTATTTTATTATAATTTTAATACATGCGATATTTTAAACTACAAGGATGAGGGAAGTTTTTCACACACATTACCAATTCCAACTTGAGACCGTGACTTACAAATCAATATATTTTTCCACTCAACTAAACCCTGTTGGCATCGACATGTGTTTTTTTATAGTGTTGTGCTGTGTAATGGTTAATTTTCCATTGTTAGATTTATATATTGTTAAACATGCTTTGATCTATGGCTTAAATTTGTGTAAAGGTATTGGGCCCACCACCTTTAGTATTGCTACACATGTCCTAAAGTCGTGAGGTCGCCCACACCGGATCACCCCGCCGTCAAATTTCCTCTCTCACACAAGAGTCAAGAGAATTCAAGCGCTCGCATTTTCCGTTTTTCAGCTCACAGTGTATCCCTAAACCCAAAACCCCCAAATTTTCCCTCTCTTTTTTCTCTTCGAGCAAAAACCAAACAAATGTTCTCTCCAGGAACTAAGCGACTCAATGTGAACCCTCGTCGGGACCCAGGATCTCCGGCCACTCCTCTCGTCGAGAACCGGCGATCTGTTTCCGATAACCCGGTCCCGAACCGGCCCAGTACCGGAACTCCGGCTCCCTGGGCTCCTCGCTTATCTGTTCTCGCCAGGTACTCGTCTAATTTATTACGCAATCGTTCCTTGAATTGCTGAAATGAGCTCGTCGGTTCTGCATGTGGGCTTAATTGTTGGTTTTAATTGGATATGGTAATGGGAGAGTTGGGTTGGTGAATGTAAGGGCTGATTTTCAATCGTTTGTGTTGTTTTGTGTTTGGTTAGAGTTTTACCAGCGAACCAAAGTGAGAAAGGGGATGAAATTAAGCCTGTATATGTTGGAGAGTTTCCCCAAGTTGTTCGTGATGAACAGGCCAGTATGGTCCAGAAGCATGTTCATGGTTAGTAGGGTTTACTCCATGAGCTTGGTTGTTGAATGAAATGACTAACTGTAGAATGGTATCCGATGTTTTCTCTTTCTTTTTTTTTTCTTCTTGCAGGTGATGCATATGTATCTGGTGGAATGGAGAGGGGAACATCTCTGGCATGGATTATATGCGGAAACAGACTCTTCGTGTGGAGTTATCTGTCTCCTGCAGCATCGATCAATTGCATTGTTCTTGAAATCCCTGCAAATGTTTTTGAAGGTGGGGATGTGGGCAGAAGTGGTGGGAACTGTTGGTTGCTTTGTGTTGTCAATTGGGATAGCACGTCTACAAGAACAAAGAAAGTTGTTAAACACTGTAGCTCTGCTGGTATTGTATTGTGTAACAAAAAAACTCAAGCTGCGGTGTACTGGCCTGACATTTATGCTGAAGGCAGAACTGCCCCTGTTGTTAGTGTTGCATCTTCTGATGAATTGGAGACAAATTCTTCACCTATTGATAGGAAGACCACCCCAAAGCGACAGCAACTAAATATGAGGCACAGGAGTAGTTTGACTGGGTTTTGTACATTTAACTCTTTGATTGCTTCTGCAGTCCCTGATTCCCAGAATATGTGTGTTGCGCTTGCCTGTAGTTCAGATGGCGAGCTATGGCAGTTTCATTGCAGCCCATCTGGTGTTAGCCGTAAGAAAGTATATAGGGACAATCAGACTCTTTCCTCCCAAGGGGGTGACAATGGTCAAAACCTAGGAAGCAAGGGTTATCCAAGGTCACTGACCTGGTGTTTTCCAAGTCTTCCTATGCAGGAATCTAACAGGCAGTTTGTTCTTCTGACAGATCATCATATTCAATGTTTTAATGTTGAACTTTGTGCTGAATTTGCTGTATCAAAACTCTGGTCTCATGAGATTATTGGCTCAGATGGGGATCTGGGCATTAAGAAAGATTTGGCTGGGCAGAAGCAAATCTGGCCTCTCGATATGCAGGTGGACTATCATGGTAAAGTGACTACCATTCTGGTTGCTACCTTCTGCGTGGACCGGAGTAGTAGTTCAAACTACACACAGTATTCTCTATTGACTATGCAATATAAATCTGGAATGAGTGTAGAGCCTACCCATGAAAGAGTTTTAGAGAAAAAAGCACCTGTGCAAGTGATAATCCCAAAAGCAAGAGTGGAAGGTGAAGACTTCTTATTCTCCATGAGGCTGCGGGTAGGAGGCAAGCCTTCAGGATCAGCAATCATCCTTTCTGGTGATGGAACAGCAACAGTATCTCATTATTTTAGAAACTCTACAAGGCTCTATAAATTTGACCTACCTTATGATGCTGGAAAGGTTCTAGATGCTTCAATTCTTCCGTCTACAGATGATGCTGAAGAAGGGGCATGGGTTGTACTCACCGAGAAGGCAGGAATATGGGCAATACCTGAGAAGGCTGTTATACTTGGTGGGGTTGAACCTCCTGAACGAAGTTTGTCACGTAAAGGTAGCTCAAATGAAGGATCTGCACAAGAAGAGAGAAAAAACCTTACATTTGGAGGCAATTTTGCTCCTAGAAGGGCTAGTTCTGAAGCATGGGATGCTGGGGATAGACAAAGGGCTATGACTGTAAGTGCACGTCAAACTGCCCAAGATGAAGAATCAGAAACTTTACTGAGCCAGCTTTTCCATGATTATCTTTTATCTGGGCAAGTTGACGCCTCGTTTGAAAGGTTAAAAAATTCTGGGGCATTTGATAGGGACAGAGAGACAAATGTTTTTGCGCGAATGAGCAGATCAATTGTTGACACTTTAGCTAAACACTGGACAACAACTAGAGGAGCCGAGATTCTGGCAATGGCTGTAGTATCCTCCCAACTCATGGATAAGCAACAGAAACATACAAAATTTCTCCAGTTTCTTGCTTTATCCAAATGTCATGAGGAGCTGTGTTCGAGACAGAGTATGCCCTCGTGCCTATTATATTTGCAATGTTTTATCATTTGATGTCAAATCCTTTCCAATTGACATGGCATATATTGAAACTTGAAAGTTCATGCATGCAACGGTGTAGGTATAGCACACATTTACTTCCACGCGTGCTTATCTAACCCACTGCACTCAATCAATTTCTTTTAGGTTGTCAGATATTAACACATAAAGTTATATTTTGTTACCAGCATTTAATTTATCAAAAATATGATTTTCAGGGAATTTTTTATTTTTGGTGCTGTGCTCATTTGATAATTTTGTCATCAGAGTATCTATTGGATGCATGGAGTATATTAATTAGTGTTTAGATGACAATATTTCCTAAGGTGTCCTATCATGGGGGTAGAAGGCCTTTTGAGGAGTATATTGATTTGAGGTTCAGTGGGGTGCTGTTGACCAACTAAATTATGTGTTTTTGTTTCCTTTCTGGCAGGAAATTCTTTGCAAATTATCTTGGAGCATGGTGAAAAGCTTGCTGGAATGATTCAACTAAGGGAATTGCAGAACATTATCAGCCAGAACCGCT